AGCAGATCGATTTAACTTAATTCCAGCTGTTCTTTCCTAAACTAGTGAGTTTTGCTATGATGCTTGTTTCCCAGCTAAAAGATCTCTGTATATGTTTGTTTACGGGTTCCTGTGTTTTGTGTAGTATTTTCTACCCTGAATACCATTGATGATTTATAAACAAACAAACCAAATGCCTCTATTAAAATGGCTTAACCAAGTGCTTATATAAGAATTCTAGAAATAAAGTTTTAAAAAAATTATATATATATGTATATATATATAGAGAGAGAGGGAGAGCACACACAGAAATTAATCTAAATGCTTTACGGAAGCACATGATATGGGAAAATATTTTATTTAAATCTGGTTTAAATTTGGTTTGATTAAATGGACATATCTTTAGAATAAACAACATTAAATAATACTTTAATTCTACCCGGGTTTATTAATCAAATAAATTCAAATTATCTCTGTTGCAAAATTCATCAGCAAGTATCTTGGTATAATAAAATTTTCATAAGTAATCTAAACTAATTGTTAGGAACAAATAAATTAAATTAATATAATTAGGATAAAAGGTTTTTTTAGGTGAACTCTTTAGCAATAATTATATTGTATGTGTACTTAAAAGGCTTTATAACTTTTTGATAACTTGAATCTTTAAAGTTGTGCTAGCTAAAATGAAATGATGAATATTCATTCAATGCCTACACCATTTCCAAATAAGATAAAATGATAAAACATTAATTACTGGACATACATTTATCTACTTTCTGAGTATCATAAAGGAACTAAAAATATCTGAATCCACTAGTAAACATGTCATGTGCCACATAAGAACAACTGTGCTATAAAAAAATATATTTTTAGGATTTATTAAATGTGTTCATAAATGTATCAGTCTAAAGAATACTGGCATAACAGTTTACAATTGCTTACTTCCGAGCATTCATTACAAATTAAAGTTTTTATTATTATTATTATTTTATTTTATTTTTTAAAATATATCTTTATTGATTTCCGAGAGAGGAAAGGAGAGGGAGAGAGAGAGACAGAAACATCAATGATGAGAGCGTCATTGATCGAGCCCGCAGCCGGGGCCTGTGCCCTGACCAGGAATTGAACCCTGATCGCCTGGATCCTAGGTCCAGGCTCCACTGCTGAGCCACGCCCGGCCGGGCACAAATTAAAGTTTTTTAAAGTTGCAAATTCTAATATGTAATTAAAGCTACAGAAATTAAAAATAATAGGAAAAGGAACGGTGTATACAAAAAATATATGTTTTGGCTTTTTAAAAAGGTATGAAATACAGCCCGCCTGGCGCGGCCCAGCGGCTGAGCATCGACCATGATCCAGGAGACTGGGGTTCGAGTCTGGTCGGGGCACAGGCCGGGTTGCGGGCTCGCTCCCCAGCAGGGGGCGAGCAGGAGGCAGCAGGTCCATGACTCTCATCATTGATGTTTCTACTTCTCCTTCTCCCTTCCTCTCTCTGAAATCAATTTTAAAAAATATTTTGTTAAAAGGTATGAAATATGAAGACATGTTTTTGTTAATGGAAGAATGAGAGAGAATGACACTGTGTACCAAAAGGGACACAAAAAGTTGCATAAAAAAGAAAGAACCTTGAGAAAGGAAATTTTATGTGGTCAAAATGAAAAAAACTGATACTTTATCAAGTAAGTGAATTTAAATATCAAAAGTACATGGGTACAGAATTAGAGTTTGGTCTCCTGTCTCTGCTGAAAGGCCAATTAGTGTGCTACTGATACTGTGACGAAGTTTTCTGCCTAGAAAGCAAAGATTCTATGTTTTATCAAAATAATTTTTATTTTATGTTTTCTTAATCATCTTTGTGATTGTTTAAGAAGACTAAATCTCCTCAATAGTGAGAACTAAGTTTTGCTAAAGATTAACTTCTGCCTGTGTCTGAAATCTTCTATTGCCATGTTGGTTAAACAGATAAAGTACAGCTTTATAATCACTTACAACCATATTAAAAGTCAAATATCCAAAACTTTTTATATAGTTTGAAAAACTTCCCAAAATTTAAATTATAAATAAGAGTCTTGACCTGGGACTAACTTTGGGGTGTTCCAGAAGGTCTTTGCAACACCTCAAAAAATTAGTTTTCTTTCCTTACAAAAGATAAATATAAAACTAATTAGGTGTAATTTGTTGTGTTGAAATTCCATGACAAGCACTGTACAATAAAAAATAACAGAGCCTTCTTTAGGTTGTCTTTATATATGTTTTAAATGTTCCAGAAATGTATGTGAAATTGTTGATAATCTAGGATGTTCTGACATAAAATGTCTGTTATCACAGCTGAGGGACACACTACAGTGACTAAACCTGAGGCGCAGGCCGTGGCACATGTGGATGGAGCACATTCCGTTTTTATAAAGATGACGCCTCCTTGCCAGGCTCCTGTCATTCTGATGTTCTTGTAACATGGCAACAGTCTGCCCCAAATCAGAGAAATTATGATGAGTTAACAATGGCTGTGAATAGTTGGTGCCACGGAAATCCAGGACAGCCAGTGGGCTGTCCCCGGCTCCCTGGCTTTTCCTCAGTTTTGCGTTCCTCTGCCGTAGGACATTTGGGCTGGACTTCGCTCCGCCGCCACGGACGCTGGGCTATGAGCATGTCCTTGTTGTATGTTTTCTGGACAAGTTGAAACTTCGGGCTGCCACGAAGCTGATGCCCTTACAATGGCAAAAACCAAACAAACTGTTAGTAAATGTGTTTTCCACTTAGGGTATACCTTCCACAATTTCTAGTGATTAAAGCATCCATTTCACTGAGCAAACCATATAAACCTTGATAGACAGCCTTGCGAACTTCTTGGAATTAGGACTGACCCTATTGCTCTATATTACCAGGCAAGACCACAGAACTAACAGGAAACTGGATTCAAGCAGAGCAAGTTTAATTACACAGGACTGAAAAAACTGATGAGAAAGGTTACAATTTTATGACTTCTTATTTGAAATATTGCTGATTTTAAAACGCTATTGTTTTGCAGATTTAAGAAATAATTTTTAAGCTACCCGTGACTTATAGCAATTTGGTAAATTCTAACTCTGTGAGCGGTATTGAAACATTTATTTTTTTCTCTCCAACTGATACCTACAGACTTTGCAAACTCTTAATGATTATTTTTCTTTTTGTGGCAATATATTTGTTTGCATAAGTTCACTAACAGTATGTTCCCTTTATAACAGAATTGGAAAGTAGTTATATTAGAAGGCTTTGACTGGGATGTCATATTTGAGAGAGAAATGCACAGACTCAGATTTGACGAGAAAGCCTTATGGAATTAAGACTGACTATGGAAGCCAATAAAATCCCTTTGGGAAAACAGCCTGGTACCTTGCTTACATGGTAAAAACTCTTTCCAGCTAAGGAACAAAAATTGCTTACTGGGTGCTCTGGCCGGAGTGGCTTAGTTGTTGCTTCCCAAAGGTCACAGGTTTGACTCGCAGTCAGAGCACACGCCTGGGTTGTCGCTCGATCCCCTGTAGGGGGTGCAGGAGGCAGCCGGCTGATGTTTCTCTTTCAAATCGATGTTTCTCTCTCTCCCTTCCTCTCTCTCTAAAATCAATAAAAAAATTTTAATTGCTTACTGGGAGATGCAAAGAAAGAACCTCAGAATGTGTTGGGGACCTTGAGAAGAGAGAACCCCCAGCCTATAGGTTGTAGGTAAAGTCAGATGGCAAGTTTCCTCCTGGGCTCCTTCGCCTCAAAAGGCTGTTTTATGTTTAATCTGAAGATTCTTTATAAAAATTCCCACAAAGCGTATTTTAAAAGTGCCTATGAGGTTAATTACTATTCTTGCTGGACCTGTACATATAACCAGGACAAGTTTACTAAAACTAGACTTATTTTGTAAATAAATTAGTCTTAATTTGCTTATTTTTGGTAAAAATGGGAATGATTTTAGAGAGAAAACTTGTTTCAATAAAAACTATAATACACCTTTATGGATATTAGATTCTAGTACGGTTCAGTGTCTCCTGAGTTCATTTTTTCCTACCTATAAACTGGACCTGTTTCTGAATTTTTCTAGTTTCCTTAAACGTTTGGCTGCAATCATCCAAACTAACATTTTCCCATCCTTTGACTTGAGTTATTGAGAACTAAAACTGCCCTTTTCCAAGGCCATGCAAGCTTAAGTTGAACAGCTCGATGTAGACACCAGAGAAGCCACAGTGGCTCGTGAATGGACAATCTTTGCTGCATAAAGGTAACCAGAGAAATTCAAACTGCAGCCCAGAAGAGTCGGTCAGACTGTGACCGCCTGACCCCAAGTCACCTGAGGATGCTGCCAGCCAGATGTCTGGAAATCTTCCTCACCAGCTGCCTTCAGAACTTGAAACTGGGACTACAGTCTGCTCCAAAATTAACCTGTGTTTTTCTCTTGTTTCCATAGAGATGCCTCTTATTAAATATGATAACCTTTTTGACCCACCTATATGGCATGGAAAACTTGTACTTACAAAATATCTGCTCTTATTATTCTGAAATGACCCTTGGAAGCCCCAAGATGCATTACCTCATCCCTAGCTCAGAATGTATTATACACCTCAGTCCCCCGTCTGTCTCTGAACCTCTAATGTAAATGACGGAACCATATATATGTATGTACTGAATCTGGTTATTTTTCTTGATAAGAGAAAGATCTCGATGGAGGTAAAAAGAATAAAAACGCTAGAGAAAGGAAGAAAAAGCCAAAAAAAAAAAAAATCCCCAGGACCCTGGATCCACAGGACCAGCATATAGTATATGTTCTCTCCTAAAAAAAGACAAGCAAAGAAGAAAATGCTAATATGGGAAGAGGCTTTTAAGTGGGAATGGCAGCTAGATGTCAAAGGGACCAATATCAATTCTATTCGTGTAGTTCCCAAAGTTTAGAATGTTATATACACGTCATACTAAATGCACTGCAAGGCTGACCGCCTGTGACAGTGTAAATGCAGTTCAGTCTCCCATGCTCATGGTTCCGGACTCCCCTAGACAGCTCTGACTTGACATTTCACCATCCAAAATATATTGCTTTTTTTCTTGCTCCAAGTTGAAAATAACTTCTGGTTTGGGAACCTGACACCCTATTAACAGGAAATGATAGAAGACTTGGTTTGAGGCCATACAATGAAGTGTTCCACTTACTTTTCAGAAAAATTCATGGAGAGCAGAGGCATATTCATAATACCCAAAGAGATTACTAAGAACATAGAGCAGAATATGGACAAAACTATTAGACTGTAGCTGTCTGACAGATTTAGAAATCCCACGTACCTCTGAAATCCCACAGATTTCAGAAATTCTGCTAAACAAAATACACACAATTAGGTACGGCCTTATACCCAGCAGAACTGTGCTTACCCACTGAGATCAAGTTGAAATAGTTTTCCAGCATTACATCCCTGTATAGGTTCTTTTGAGCAAGGTCCAAATGTTGCCACTCCTCCCTGCTGAAGTCTACAGTTACATCCTTGAATGACACAGATCCCTGTAAAAACACTTTCTTATTCAATGCAAAGGATCAGGATTGCAGGATGGAAACAAAATATTTAGAAACTTACTTCTAATAATTTTAAATATGATACAATACAGAATGTTCCCAATAAACACTTGTATTTGACAATATTATTTTGAAGGAAAAAATAAATCTTACTTAAAATATGCCATTCTTTCTGTGGTACTGATAATGTTCTGGGTTTTTGTTGTTTTGTTTTAACCTGTGTGTTGGTTACAAAAGAATAAGCTGTGGTCCCGGCTGGTGGCTCAGCTGGGTGAGCATCATCCCGTCACCACGAGGTCCCTAGTGCGGTTCCTGGTCAGAGCACATGCCCGGGTTGCAAGCTTGATCCCTAGTAGGGGGCATGCAGGAGGCAGCTAATTGATGTTTCTCTCTCATCAATGTTTCTCTGCCTCCCTCCCTCAATTTTTAAAAATCAACTTAAAAAAACAACATATCCTCAGGTGAGAATTAAAAAAAAAATTTGAACCCCTACCCCATGCCATATAAAAAAATTAACTCAAAATGAATTAAAGGCCTAAATGTTTTTACATTTGGCCAAAACTTAAGTTTTACCTAAAAGGAGTAAATCTGTGTGACACGGGATTTGGCAATAATTTCATAGATATGAAATCAAAAGCACAAGCAACCAAAGAAAAAATAGATAAATTTGACTTCATCAAAATAAAATTTTGGTTACAAAGATATAAGCAAGAATGTAAAAAGACAACTTAAGACTGGGGGGGAAATTTTATATTTTTAATAAAATATGATAAAGGACTTGTGTTTTATTTGTTTTTTTAAAAAATAGGTTTTTAGTGATTTTAGAGAGAGAGGAAGGGAGAGGGAGAGAGAAAAACATTGATTGGCTGCCTTCTGCACACCCCCTACCAGAAATCAAGCCCAAAACCCAAACACATGCCCTAACCGGGAATCGAACCAGTGACCTCTTGGTGCATGTGATGATGACCAACCAACTGAGCCACACCAGCCAAGGCAATGAGGGATTTGTGTTTTAAGTATATAAAGAACACTTACAACTCAATAAAAAAATAAATAATATAAATAAAAATTGGCAAAAAATCTTAATATACATTTCTCTAAACAATATACACAAATTGCCTAAAAGCATTTTAAAAGATTTTCAATATTTTTAGTCACCAGGAATATTAAAATTCCAATTACAGAGATGCTGACAGAACCCATCAGTCCCCAAGAGAGTGGGAACTTTGGGGTTGGTAAATTTGGATTGTAACTGGCTTCCTGCTCAAGACCAGTGCCATTTCTTCAGCACCTGAACAGCAGCTTGAGTGCTATAGTCAGGGTTGAGCCTCACAGTTTGAGGGTTGTTTCCACCCACAAATAGGCCAACAGCAATAAAAACCCAATTACAACAGGAGGGCCCATATAACCCACACAAGGGATATTCCTAGAACACCCAGCTCAGGAAATCAAGGAAACTGCACCACTGGATCCCACAAGACACCTACTACATAAGGCCACCCCATGAAAACTGGGAGTCATAACAGATCTAACTAATACATAGAAACAAACACAAGAGGCAGCCAAAATGCAGAGACAAAGAAACAAGCCCAACATGAAAGAATAGGAGGAATCTCCAGAAAAAGAGCTAAATGAAATGGAGGCAAAATTTTTTTATCACATATAGAATTTTTATCACATAAGTAATGGTTATAAGGATGCTAAAGAAACTTAGTGAGAACTACAACAGTATGAAAAAAATAGATAGAAACCATAAAAAAGAACCAGTTAGAAATGAACAACACCATATCTGACATTAAAGATATATTGGAAGGAATAAAATGTGGTTTGTATGAAGCAGAGAATCAAATCAGCAATTTGGAAGACAAGGTAAAAAACAAACAAACACCCAATCAGAGCAGGAAAAAAAAAAAGAAATTAAAAAGATAGTTTAAGGGAATGCTGGGACAACATGAACATAACAACATTTGCACTATAGGGGTACAAGAAGGAGAAGAGACCAAGGGATCGAGAACCTATCTGAAGGAATAGTGACTGAAAACTTCTCTAACAGGGAGAAGGAAAAACATGCACATCTCCAGAAAGTGTGGAGTCCCAAACAAGTTGAACATAAGAGGACCACACCAAGTCACATCATAATTAAAATGCCAAAGGTTAAATACAAAGAAGGAATCTTGCCTGGCCAGGCATGGCTCAGTGGTTGAGCCTCGACCCAGGATCCAGGCGATTGGGGTTCGATTCCTGGTCAGGGCACATGCCCGGGTGGAGGGCTCGATCCCCAGTTGGGGGCGTTCAGAAGGTGGCCTATCCATGACTCTCTCATCATGGATGTTTCTCTCTCTCTATCCCTCTCCTTTCCTCTCTATGAAATCAATAAAGATATATATATATAAAAAGAAGGAATCTTAAAAGTAGTAAGAGAAAAGCAGTTAATTACTTACAAGGGAGCTCCCATAATACTGTTAGCTGATTTCTCAAAAGAAACATTTCAGGCCAGAAGGGACTGGCATGAAATATTCAAAGTGATAAAAAGCAAGTACCTTCAACAAAGACTATTTACCAAACAAGGCTATCATGTAAAATGGAAAAAGAGATAAAGAGCTTGGAAGACAAGAAAAAGCTAAAGGTGTTTGTTACCACTAAAGTAGTATTATAAGAAATGTTAAAGGGCCTGCTTTAAGAAGTAGAAGAAAAAACAAAAAACAAAAAACAAAAAAAAAAGAGGGACAAAGTTAAAGAATAAAATTGCAACAAATGCGTAACTATCAAGAATCGCTTTAAATGTAAACAGCTTAAATGTGGCAATCAAAAGACATAGGGCAGCTGAATAAGAAAGCAAGACCCATATAAATGCTAAATACAAGACATTCACCTCAGAACAAAAGATACACACAGACTAAAAGTAAAGGGATGGAAAAATATTTCATTCAAATAAAAATGAAAAAAACTTGGAGAAGCAATACTTATATCTGAAAGAGACTTTAAAATAATGGCCATAGTAAGAGACAAAAAAGGACACCATGTAATGATAAAAGGAGCAACCCAACAAGAGGATATAATTCTAGTAAACATTTATGCACCCAACATAGGAGCACCTAACTATGTAAAGCAAATCTTGATGGACATAAAGGAAGATATTGACAGTAATACATTCATATTAGGGGATTTTAAGACCCCATTCACATCAACAGATAGCTTTTCCAGATCAACAAGGAAACAGTGGCCTTAAATGACACACTAGATCAGATTGATTTAATTAATAAATATTCAGAGCATTTCACCCATGGCAGCAGAATATACATTCTTTTCAAATGCACATGGAACATTTTCTAAGGTAGAACACATGTTAGGACACAAAACAAGTCTCCATAAATTTAAGAACCTTGAAATTATATCAAGCATCTTCTTTCTCTGACCACAATAGTATGAAATTAGATATTAACCACAAGAAAAGAAAACAGAAAAACACACAAAGCCATGGAGGCTAAATAACATGTTACTAAATGATGAAACCAAGAGCTGGTTCTTTAAAAGGATAAACGAGACTGACAAACCTTTAACGAGAATCATCACATAAAAAAGAGAAAAGGACACAAATAAATAAAATGAGACATGAAAGAGAAGTACCAACTGACATCACAGAAATACAAAGGATTATAAGAAAATATTATAAACAACTATATGCAAACAAATTGTACAATCTGAAAATAATGGAAACATTTCTAGAAACATACAATCTTCCAAACTTAAATCAAATCAGAGAATATGAATAGACGATTACAAATAGTAAAATTGAAGCAGTAATTTAAAAAACTCCCAACAAATAAAATTCAAAGGTAAATTTTACTGAACATTTCAAAGAAGAATTAACACCAATCTTCCTCACACTATTACAAAAAATTCAATAGGAGGGAAAACCCCCAAGCTCATTTATGAGGACAGTATTATCCTAATTCCAAAACCAGATAAAGACACTTAAAAAAAAGAAAATTATAGGTCAATATCCCTGATGAACATAGATGCTAAAATCCTCAACAAAATACAAGCAAACTGAATCCAGCAATACATTAAAAATATCATACACTATGACCAAGTGGGATTTATTCCAGGGATGCAAGGCTGGTACAATATTCGCAAATAAGTAAATGTGATAAAACACATTAACAAAATGAAGTATAAAAATCACATGATCATATCAATAGATGCAGAAAAAACATTTGATAAAATCAAGCACCCATTTATGATTAAAACTCTCAGCAGAATAAGAAGAGAGGGAACATATCTCTACACAGTAAAAGTCATACATGATGAACCCACAGCCAACATCATACTCAAAGGTCAAAAACTAAAACCATTTCCCTTCAAAACAGGAACAAGACAGGGTTGTCCCCTTTCACCACTCTTATTCAACATAGTACTGGAAGTCTAGCCACAGTGATCAGACAGGATGAAATAAAAGCCATCCAAATTTGAAAGGAGGAAGTAAAACTGTCTTTTTCACAGATGACATGATACTGTACATAGAAAACCCTAAAGACTCCACCAAAAACTACTAGACTCAATAAATTATTTCAGCAAAGAAGTAGGATACAATATTAATATTCAGAAATGGGTTGCATTTTTATACACCAATAATAAAATATCAGAAAGAGAAATTAAGGAATCAATCCCATTTACTATTGCAACAAAAAATAAGGTACCTAGGAATAAATTAAACCAAGGAGATAAAAGACCTGCACTTAGAAAACTACAGGACATTGAAAAAAAAAATTGAGGAGGATATAAAAAATGGAAGCATATACCATACTAATGGACTGGAGGAATTAACATCATTACAATGCCCATACCACCAAAGCAATCTAGAGAGTCAAAGCAATTCCTATTAAAATACCAATGGCACAGATCTAGAACAAATATTCCAAGACCTTATATGAAACCAAAAAAGACCCTGAATAGCCTCAGCAATCTTGAGAAAGAACAGAGTTGGGATCACAATACCTGAAATCAAACTAT